TAGTTTCAATTTCATTTATTTCTGCTTTGGTTTTTATTATTTCTTTTCTTCTATTGGTTTTGGGGTTTTTTTGTTGTTCTTTTTCTAGATCTTTGAGCTTCGAGATGAGGTTGTTTCTTTGCGTTCTTTCTTGTTTCTTGATGTGAGCTTCTATTGCTATATATTTTCCTCTTATTACTGCTTTTGCTGCATCCCATACATTTAGGATATTAGTGTCCTCCTTGTCGTGCAATTCAAAAAATTTTTTAATTTCTTCTTTGATCTCCTCATTAGTCCAATGGTCTTCCAGTAGTGTGGTTTTTAATCTCCATGAGGTAGGAAAGTTCCTTGCCTTCTTTTTATGGTTTATTTCTAGTTTGATGCCTTCATGGTCAGAAAAGATGGTTGATATGATTTCAATCTTGGTGTATCTGTTGATGTTTGTCTTGTGCCCCAGTATGTGATCGATCCTGGAGAATGATCCGTGTGCGCTTGAGAAAAATGTGTACTCCGTTTTTTTGGGGTTTAGTGTTCTATAGATGTCTGTTAAGCCTAATTGCTCTAGGTCCTTATTTAGAGCTTTGGTTTCTTTACTTATTTTTTGTCTTGTTGATCTATCCATTGTTGATAGTGGTGTGTTGAAGTCTCCCACTACGTATGTGTTTTCTCTGATGTCTGTTTTCAGAGAGGACAACAGTTGTCTGATATATTTTGGTGCTCCTTCGTTTGGTGAGTATATGTTAATGAGTGTTATTTCTTCTTGAAGTATTGTCCCCTTGATCATAATGTAGTGACCATTGGGGTCTCTTTTTATCTTTTTGAGTTTGAAATCTGTTTTATCTGATATAAGTATAGCTGTTCCTGCTTTCTTTTTTGGTCCATTTGCTTGTAGGATTGTTTTCCATCCTTTAACTTTGAGCCTATTTTTATCTCTTGTAGCTAAATGTGTTTCCTGGAGACAGCAAAAGGTTGGGTTTTGTTTCTTAATCCAGGCTGCCACTCTGTGTCTTTTTATTGAAGAGTTTAGTCCATTTACATTTAGAGTTAATATTGATATGTTAACATCTGTATTTGCCATTGTGTTTGTCTTTCCTTTGATTTTATTTATTTATTCTTTTAATAACTTTTTTTTTTTTTTGGCCTTCTTTCATTGTTATTCGTCCCTCTGAGGTTCTGGCTTTAGGACTCCTTGTAGTATTTTTTGGAGTGGGGGTTTAGTTGCAATGAAATTCCGGAGTTTCTGTTTGTCTGGGAAGGTCCATATTCTTTCTTCAAAGAGGAAGGAGAGCTTTGCGGGATAGAGTATTCTTGGTTGGCATCTGTTTTCTTGGAGTCTGTTGACTATGTCCCTCCACTCTCTCCTTGCCCGTAGTGTTTCTTCGGAGAAGTCTGATGTCAGCCTGATTGGCTTTCCTTTGAATGTTATCTGTTTCTTCCCTCTTGCCAGCTTCATTATTTTTTCCTTGTCCTGGATTCTTGGGAGCTTTACTATTATGTGTCTTGCTGTATTTTTCCTTTCGTCGTGGAAGTTTGGTGTTCTTCTTGCTTCTTGTATATCAATTTTCAGCTCCTTCTTCACATTTGGGAAGTTCTCTTCAATTATCTCTTTGAATATTTTCTCTGTTCCTACATCTCTCTCCTCTCCTTCTGGTATTCCTATAACTCTTATATTTCCTTTCCTCATGGAGTCAGATAGTTCCCGAAGTCTTTCTTCGTTCTTTTTCCTTCGTACTTCTCTTTCCTTTTCTGTTTTGGTTCTTTTTATTTCTGTGTCTTCAAGATTACTTATTCGTTCTTCCATTTCATCTATTCTGCTTTCATTGCTTTTCCCAGAATTCTTTAGTTCTTCCATTAATTCTTTGATCTCCTGCATTTCTTTTACTTCCCTCTTTAGGGACTCAATTTCTTTCTTCTGACCATTGTTTTCCCTCTCTAGGGACTCAATTGCATTCTTCTGATCATTGATTATTTTTCCCTTATCATTGTTTTCCTTTATGACTTCTGTCAGTTTTTTAATCACGGCAATTTTAAATTCTCTTTCTGGAAGGCTCAGAAATTCTTCCAAGTTATTGTCTTTGCAATCTGGGGGCTGGCTTTCTTTTTGTGGTGTGCTTTTTCTCTGGAGAGTTGCTAGGTTGCGTGTGGTTCTTCTCCTCCCTACTGTCTGTTTTCTAATTTGCCGTATGCGTTGGGACACTGTGTTGTTGGGACTGGCCGGCATCTTGGGTGGGCTTCTCTGTTCCCCTCTGGTTCTTCCAGGAGTCATCTGTCAGTTTCAAGCAGCCTTTAATGGAGAAAGGTCCCTGTTCTAAAATGCCGATGTGGGGACACACTCCCCTGTGCGCCTGGTCTGCCCCGGCGGTGGGTTCCTGCTCCCCTCTGGGCTTGGACTGCAGGCCAGAGGGGGTCTGGCGTGGGCGAACTTCCCCCGCTCACCTCTGGCTCCTGAGGAAGCCTTCTGCAGGTAGTCTTTACTGAAGAAATGTCCCTGTTCTAAAATGGTGATGTGGGACACACTCCCTGCGCGTCTGGTCTCAGGCACACTCTTCTGCGCGCCTGGTCTGCCCCGGCTGTGGGTGCTCGCTCTCCCTGTGGGCTCAGACTACTTGTTCGGAAGGAGCCAGGTGTGGGCTAACTCCCCAGCTGGCCACTAGCTCCTTCAGTAGCCTGTGCTGGGGTCAAGTCGCTAGGTGGCGCCAGAGATCTCTCCTAGAGCCCTTGGGGAGCTGATTTTCCACCCCGTGGGACAGGGAGCAGAGCGGGGATGGTAGGGTACACCTCAACGGCTTTGGGGTGCTGTGTCTGCCTTGTGCCCCACCATCGTGGGGAACCCACGCCCCTAATTTCGTGCCCTGGGTCTCAGTTCCAAAGCCCTCAGTTCCAGGACTCAGGCTGTAGCCCAGATCAGTGGCGCGGGAATGGCGCCTTTTGAATCCCGCTCCCCTGCCTGGGCGCCTTGTTCCTGCTCACTCAGGGAGGGCCTCCTACGTCTCCCCGCAAGCCTAGGTCGCAGGCGCGGGGACCTGGGCAGCTGCGATCCGGTCTGGATCCGCGCCACTTTCCGCGCAAGCTTACCGGGCGGCCGGGGCTGTGTGCTGGTGCTGGTCTCCTCCTGGGGGGCGGGGCTCTCTTTAATGGCGCCTGGAGCTCACCTCCGCGGCGGATCCTGCAGGGTTCGCCTCAGCTCCCGTTCACGGGGTGTGGTGGCTGCAATAGTTCCTTTCCACTCACAGTCCCGCTTGCTGTGTCCGTTTTTCTTGTTGGCCGTTTTGGTTTGTTGTTTCCCTCCTCTCTGCCGGTCGGAGAGTGCCGCCTCTGTGGGCGGGGGAGGGGAGCAGGGTTCTGCGCTTCCCTCCCTTCTCGTCCTCTTTTATGGCAACTTTCTTCTTCGGGCAGTTTGCTGGAGTCGTCCGTTTATCTTCCGTGTCCCAGTTCTCACTGGGACCTGCCGCTTTTCCTCCCTATTAACTTTTTTTAATGGGAGATCTTACTCGCAGCGTCTCCTCGCCGCCATGTTGCTCCGCCCTTTTGCAGTTTCTTACATATATATAATCTTGAAGTGAGTTGAACTCTTGTAGGCAGAAACTTAATTTGTTCCTATCTATTATACATAAAAATGAAAATTCTCAGGTTGGCAGATAACAAAATTACCCACAGTGTACAAAATATACATACAAACTATTACATAATAATGGTGTTGCTGCTGAGGATAAGAAAAGGTATAATCTTGTAGAGAAAAAGGATAAAGACATCCAGTTTTAATAATTTATAGTTTTCATCTCAGCAAATGTGCTCATCTCTTTCTAAATCAACTTGAATGTGGCGAAGATTTATTTATGAGGCTACTTACTTCTATGTCCTTTACAAGTGGAAAAGATTGGAAACAATTAAAATGCTAAAGTGTGGACGGTTGTTATGATATAGTAGTTGACAAAAACAGTGGAATATAGTGCAGCAATGAAAAGGATAATGTGTTTATTTCCTAAGGCTGCTAGAACAAATTAGCACTAACTCAGTCACTTAAAACAGAAATTGATCCTCTCAGTTCTGGAGGCTAGAGGTCTGGACTCAAGGTGTGGACAGGGTAGTGTTCTCCCAGTGGCTCTGGGGCAGGTCCTTCCTGCCTCTTCCATGGTCTGCCTCAGTTGTTACATGACCACCTTCTTTGTGTGACTGTCTTAGAAGGACACAGGTCCTTGGATATAGGGCCACCCTAACCCAGCATGACCTCATCTGAATCAATTATACCTGCAAAGACCTGTTTCCACATAAGATTGCATTCAGAGGTTCCAGGTGGACGTGAGTTTTAGGGGACACTATCAACCTAGTATAGATGATCTGAAGAATATCTAAAGGTGCAGAGAAAAGTTTACAAAAAAGTATTGAAGAAAAAAAAGGTGGCTATAAAGCAGCAAGCGTGGTGTGACGCCTTTAAATAACATATTGACGTAGATCCTCGAAGAGAGTGAAAGTGTGCTCACCAAAATGTTACCATGGTGATGAGTAGGTTTGAATGATTTTAATTGCTCTAATGAATGTATTTTCTTAATTTCTAGCACTGAATATGTGTTTCTTTGATAAGGAGAAAAAACAATGAGCCTTTTTAATCTAGGTTTTCAAACTACAAGTTTAGAAATGAATTAATATTCTTGATTGCCACAGCTTTTGTCTAATTGGTTAGAAATATCTTAGAGTGTGTAAAGTTCAAAATGCATTTTTCAATATGTCTTTTTAAACAAAGAATATTTCAAAGTTGAATACTTCCCTATTATGCAAGGTAAGTTTTTATTTTTCTAAATTAGAGATATTTTAAGATATGTGAGTTTAAAATGTTCATGGGTTTATTTATTGTGCTATGGGTTATTAGACTGTCATTGACCATTTAATAGGTTAGATTGTCATTCCATTTGGGGGCAGTTATTTTAGGTAAGGGCAAACTTAAAATACCTCTTGCTGTGTCTCTAGAACACCAGTAAAATACTTGAAATGAACAATTGCCGTGTTATTTGTTGTTTTCCTAGACAAGGAATTGTTCCTCCAGGCCTTACAGAAAATGAACTATGGAGAGCAAAGTACATCTACGATTCAGCTTTTCATCCTGACACTGGCGAAAAAATGATTTTGATAGGAAGAATGTCAGCTCAGGTTCCAATGAACATGACCATCACAGGTTGTATGATGACATTTTATAGGTAAGTTATAGAAATGTAACAAACGAATTCATTTTATATTATAGAAAACTAAAAGTGCATGTTTTGTATGTATATAGTTTTATTGAAATAAGTATCACTTCCTGTTGAGTTTCATTGTGTAAATATATCAACTCAAGAAGGCTGTTTTACGTTTTCCCTCTGCTATATATAGCATTCTCTGTGTTGTTCAAAAAGAAGTTGAACCTTTCCCTAAATCTTAGACTCAAAAGAAAAATGGGCTTAAAAAGAAAATAAGAGTCTTCAAGCAAATTTTCTTTTTAATCCATTCATCTGATACAGATTTAAGCAGAGATAATAGGGGTAGATGTAGGTGCAAGTATAGATGTAACAGTAGGTGTAAGTGCAGATATAGCAGTAGGTGAAGATGTGGGTGTACAAGCAGGTGTAGAACAGGTATATGTATACGAATAGGCGTAGATGTAGATATAAGATTAGGTGTAGATGTAGTGTAGGTGTAGGTGTAGACATAGCTATAAACACAGACATATGAGCTTGCACGTGCAGTCAAGAGGGACTTTTGGCTACAAATGGCTTTTTTCCCACAAGAGAAGGGACCTGACATTTATTGAGTGCTACCTATGCTAGGTTCTCTACAAATTTAAGATAAAATTTAATTTAAGTAAGATACCTTCCTCACTGTAACCCTCTGAACTTAGTGTTCCCATATCGAACTATTGAGGAGGCTGAGAATCAGATGGCATGGGAGCCTGCCAGGCCACACAGGTTAAGCCTTTGCCCCAGAATGTATGGCCTTCCATGCAGGCTTTTCCCTTCCTCATGCATCTCCCCTCTGGGTGCTGTGTGCGTCCTTGCTCCACACAGCAGCAAGGGCACAGGCGATGGGGCCCATGTGCCGGCTCTCTCTGTTTCAGGACCACGCCGGCGGTGCTATTCTGGCAGTGGATTAACCAGTCCTTCAATGCCGTGGTCAATTACACCAACCGCAGTGGAGACGCCCCCCTCACCGTCAAGTAAGTCTCTGCTGAATGAGCCTCTGTGTTCCCAGGGTTCGCTTGACTCAGTGAAGTATAAATTAAACAGTATATTTGTACAAATTGTATTGTTTAAAATATTCAGGACTTACTTCACAGTCATGCTCCTTTTCTTCTCTTTTATCAAGATCCACTTGTTGGTAGTGGCGCTGGTGGGAAGGTGTGTCTTCACACCCTAGGACTCATGTCTCCTGCTCGGCACACAACAGGCAGCTGGGGCGGGTGGGTAAATGACAGGCCGCACCCCGCTCTACTCTGCCAGTACATGTGATACCAGCATCCACAATATGGGCTGCAGACGTCCAGGGGACATCTGTGGCTTTTATGTCCTATTTGGGGTTTTTTGATATTGTTTATTGAGTTAGTATTGGTTTAATCACTGTTTCCCTTTTAGAGGTGCACTCTCCCCCCTACAGGCGTTTTTGCCAGAGTTCACCCACCACCAAGGAACCATGGTCCACCCCCAGAGCCCTGGTGCTCTGTGCTCCCCACTCCTTGTCCCTGGCCCCCACTCTTCTCTCCCCCTCCAGTTTCCCCCATTCCACAGTCAGCTTTCAAGGGTTGGTTTTATAGCTTGGGTTCATCTGTGCCTTTGTTTTGTTTGCTGTATTCCACTTAATAATTGACACCAATTGTCTTTCTCCTTCTGGCTGATTTTGCTTAATATTATCCCTTCCAGCTCCATCCATGTTGCCCATTTGTTTTTAAATCAGACAGCCAAAAAAGAATGCAAATGATCTTCAGGTGGAAAAAAACACTTTTAGACAGGTGACAGAGATCAGTTAACAGAAACTTTAGCATCATGGGCATAACTCTTCAAAGTGTTTTCTTTTTTGATTTTATATTGCTTTTGACAGCCTGTCTTCTTCTACGATCAGCCTGTAGCACAAGGATATGGAAATTAGCAGCCAGCGGTGTTTATCACACCTTCATTTCATCCAATCCTTGAATTTAAATTTTAAACTGAGAGAATTGCCTGGGCTTCTTCACTGCATTTTGGAGATGGGACTTTTCAAATTTCCATCCAGTAAGATGTCATTTCAATGCTGGCAGCATTGCTTTGAGTTGTCACTTGCAGTATGTATATCAATATTCTGAGAACTATTTTATATTTCAGCAAATACACTATAAACACTTGGCCCCGTGTGCATTTGTTTCCTGCACGTTTCTACTACACACTCACTTGCCCCTGGCCCTCACACACACTTGGTGTAGCTGCTTATTTTGCATTGTAGGTGAAGAATCCCATTTTTTTATGGGCCAACTTGCTTTTCATGGGGATTTCTCTACATGGAGAGTAATCATGGATGTTCCATGGAATCTCCATTTTTAATCTAGTTCTTTCACCTTTCCCCCTCATTGCTGCAGAATCTGCTGTACCAGTTTCCTGACAGGTGCTCACTGGTTATGCACTATTCTTTTGTTTTTTTAAATGGAGGTAACATTGGTTTACAGTTCTGTACATGCACTAAGGGAACAGGTTCAGATGCATGTCACCACAGCACACCCACCACCAAAGCACCCATGACTCGTTACCCTGCACCACCAGACCCCCTACCCCCTTGCTCCTTCTCGTCCCCACTACTGTTCTCTTTCTTTTCAGTGAATTGGGAACAGCATATGTTTCTGCCACAACTGGTGCTGTAGCAACGGCTCTAGGACTCAATGCGTTAGCCAAGGTACTCAGATCTTTATTTCTATAGTGAAGCTTCCTAATTTGTTCTTACCTGCCTGGTTCTGAGTCTCTCTATTATTGCCCAAAATAGTTACCTGACTTTCTTCTTAGAGTCATTCTCTTCAATGCTGATTTTAATTGTGTCTTCCAATAAGCTCAGAAAGGGGTGTCACCAGAACATGTGCCCAGACCTAGTCTGTAGCTGGCATTGAAGATTAAGTGTTAAATGCTCATCTGCCACACAGCCTGCTGGAGCAGGGGTCAGGTGGTGTGTCTCATGTCCACACCTCCCGGAGTTGGAGGAATCCCAACTGAACTCAAAACCTGGGACTCCAAAGCCCCTACTCCAGCAACCACACTAGACTGTCAAAATGTCTTAGATGTTGGCATTATATGCCCAGCATGCCCATACTTGAAAGGTAAATGCCACTAGGAAACAAGTTTTGAAAGTACTATTTGTGTGAGTTTTTTCTTCATTGAAGTAACATTGCATTATAACATTCTATAACTTCGAGGTGTGCATCATTGAGAACTACATTAAGTTCACCACTCAAAGTCCAGTTCTGTCCTTCCCCATACCATTGTCCCCTTATCTACCTTCCTTTCATTCTCCCTTCCAGTAACCACAAATTGGTCTTCTCATCCAAAAGTTTTTGTTTTTTAATCTATATGTTACATATGAGTGAAGTCTTAAGACATTGTCTTTCCCTATTTCATTCTGCTTAATCCCCTCCAGGCCCATCAGTGTTGTTACATATGGAGGGATTTCATCCCATTTTGTAGCTGCACAGTATTCCACTGTATGAGCACTGAGTTTCTATGCAAACAGGACTCTGCATTTTGTAGTAGTATTCAAGAAGAAATAAGTATCTCCATTCAATAGTCCTGGAAAAGTACAATAATGCTTTTGGAATTATCTTTTCTGCAGCGTGTCTCACCACTCATAGGACGCTTTGTTCCCTTTGCTGCTGTAGCTGCTGCTAATTGCATTAATATTCCATTAATGAGGCAAAGGTAAGATGAATATGTACTCTTTGAAAGGACTTGTGCTTAACAGGACAGTCTCTTCAAATAATTAGTCAAATTTTTTTAAATTTATTTTAGTATCTACAGATGGAATTGTGTGGGATCTGGGACTTGTTTCAAAATGATCTAGAATTGAGGGTAAAGGTGAGTCCATTGATGAAGCAAGTTTAGCATGAGTTGCTGATTATAAAGACAGGCTGATAATTAGGTACATGTGGGATTAGAATCTTTTTTCTACTTCTGCATAATAAAAAAATTCAAAAATGTATCTTAATCTTTCATTTAGTTGTGCCAGGACTAGGGAGAGGAAGGTCCTGAAAGAAAGATTATTCTCTAGAATAGGTTCTTTTTTCCTGTAGAAGTTTCATTTTGGTTTTTAAGTAATGTTAATCTATATATTTGGAAGTAATTTTTAGCTGAAGAAAGAATAAGAAAAAGCATTTTGGAATGAATAACAAAACAGGGTAACAAATCTGCTATACAGTATTAGTAACTTGTAGATAAATTGCCAGTAGTACCAATTACTAGTGACTCCTCTGTCAGTATAGTTAGTTCCCTTTGTAATGCTGCATATTATTATATTTTTCATTTGGAAAGTTGCTCGACTTTGCACATGAACCTAGAAATGAGCTCTGTCTTTAAGTTACCATATTCACCCCTGGAGTCACATTAATATTAAAACTGATACACCTATTTTTTTAACAAAGTTTACTAGTGTTACTTTCCCTTTGAATCTATCGCACATGAATTATACTTGTTCATAGTATTTAAAAATAGACTTATCTGTGCCAACAGTGACACTTGGGAGGGTGTTTGGATGGAGTGGAAACTTCACCTTTCAATGTGGTGCTGTGTCCAGCCGCTCCATGAAGCATCTGTGAATATCTTTGCATGTGTCTCTCTCTGCAGGGAACTCAAAGTGGGCATTCCTGTCACAGATGAAAATGGCAACCGCCTGGGCGAGTCGGCCAATGCTGCCCAACAGGCCATCACCCAAGTAGTGGTCTCCAGGATCCTCATGGCAGCCCCAGGCATGGGTTAGTAGAACTTTGTCTTCCATTCATTTATTCTAGGAGCATAACTTGAACAAGTGTGTATGCACCCAATAAGTAAAAAAAAAAAAAAAGAAAATCACCCCACTTGGTGAAACTCACTTGCTGGTGGGGCTGGCAGGGGATAAACAAAATAAGCAAAATAGATGATACATGAGATGGTAGGAGGGAGTAAAGGGGAAAGAGGAACTGGAGATGGGGTGCTGCAGTGGATGTGGCAGGAAGGTCAGGGAAGAGGACTGGCCAGAGGTGAGATAGTGAGCCAGGTGGGTGTCAGGGGTCCATGTTCTGGGCAAAGGGGACAGTGGGAGAGTGGGGAGCTTGCCTGGCATGTGGGGAGCATCTCAAAGCAGCAGGGGCAACTGGTGTAGAGTGGGAAGTGGGAAGAGTAAAATGAATAGGATGAGGCCCCAGAGGTCAGGATGTGGGTGACCGGAGCTAGCTCTGGTTTTCAGTGTAAGGGACAGGAAGCCAGGGAGGGTTTGAGCAGGGAGGTGGCACAGTCTGATGTAATGTTTAGGGCATGACTCTCGGTGCTATGTTGAAAATAGACGGAGGGAAGGAGAACAATGGATGGAGTCCTCTCTGAGGGTTATTGCAGCCCCCAAGTGAGAGGTGCGGCAGGGCCGATGAGGCAATAACAGCAGAGGTGATGAGAATTTGGTAGCAAAGAATTTGATCTTTGTAAACCTTGAAAAGAAACGTCCAAAACTTCTTGAATGGGAAAAACGTCTCTGAAGATTTGTGTGTATCACTTGGAAACCCTTAGAACACAGAGAAACTCAGGCTGGTTAGAGCAACTGTTACTAAAATGTGCCAGGCGACCCCTCTGGGGGCTTGAGCCAACCTGACTGAGCACACTGGATCTGCATTGTGCTCAGTTCCTCTGCGAAGCTCTGCTCCACCCACTCCTAAGTCTTCTTACCTGGAGGCCTGGAAATGGCTTGCGGATAAGGAAACAGTAAACCTGGACATCTGGGAGTCCCAATGTCCTTCTCATGAAGTGGAAATAAATGTGTTTCATTTCACCATCTGAACTAGAGCACAGACAGCCCTGGGCTGCTTGCTCAGCTTTCAGAGGAAGCGAGCTTGGCGACTGCTGTCAAGTTTTCCCACTGATCTTTTCATTCTCTTCAAAATCCTTTTGAAACTCTGATGCTCATCACAGATGAGTAGGAGTAGACAACAAACTGAAGAAAACAGCCTGAAAGAAAACTTTGAGGAGGTTGATATTTGCACCCCAGCTGATTGGGATTGTCTGATTTCACCATCGGCAACCTGTACTCTGTCGCTAACCTACAAGGGGGCAGTGGAGTTCCCGCCCCCCCACCCCCCGCCCAGCTTCCCCTTCCCTCTGAGCTCAGAGCTCAGATTTTCTGGTTTGCTGACATCAAGGTCACACCTCTACATGCTAGCCTGGGTTTGCTTTCGATTATGTTCTTTCCCATTTTGAAACCCAAAGAGGCTCGTCTTTGGAGTTCAGCCAACCCAGCACATCCATTCACAGAAGCTTGGTTATTTCCAACATCATCCACTCTGTCCACCCCTGTGAAATCTGTAAGGCATCGTCCACAAGGGAGGCAGCTGAGCTGACAGTTGAGTCTGATAAAAGTCCTGAGTAAAGGGACTGATGCTGCCAGTGTCTGGCTGTGTGGTGCGCCTGCACATCACAGCCTCTTTGGTACAGGTCACCACTTTATCTGAGAAAACAGGCTCAGAGAAGTGAGGAAACTTCCCAGGGTCGCCCAGTTGGCAAGGGGGCCTCCTAACCCACAGGCCAGATCCCTGGATGAGCCTTGTCTGTTAGCACAGGAGAGCACTGTGGTGTGAGCAACCTTCATGTAGTCTACACAGATGTTGATTTTTAGTGATGCATGCCTGAAACTTCACCATTATCATGCAGTGTTACTTCAATTTAAAAGAAAAAAGGGATCCATGTTGCTGCAAATGGCATGAGTTTATCTTTTTTGATTGCTGAATAATATTCCACTGTGTGTATATATACCACATGTTCTTGATCCAGTCATCTATTTTTGGGCATTTGGGTTGTTTCCACATTTTACCTGTTGTAAATAGTGCTGCAGTAAACATAGGGGTACAGGTGTTCTTTTGAATCAATGTTTTTGTGTCCTTTGGGTAAATTCTCTAGGAGTGGAATTGCCAGGTTCTATGGTAGCTCCATTTTTAGCAGACTGAGGAACTTCCACACAGCTCTCCATAGTGGTTGGACCAGTTTGCACTCCCGCCAGCAATGCAGGAGAGTTCCTTTTCCACCACATCCTCACCAACATTTGTTGTTGCTAGTTTTTTTGATCTGTGCCATTCTTACTCGTTGTAAGGTGGTATCTCAATGTGTTTTTTTTTTTTTATTTGTATTTCCCTGATGGTAAGGGATGTTGAACATTTTTTCATATGCCTGCTGGCCATTTAGGAATTATGCTCAGTGAAATAAGCCAGAAGGGAAAAGAAAAATATCGGATGGTTTCACTTATAGCAGGAATATAGGGGAACCAAACAAGACATCAGTGTAAAGAAATAACACAACAAAGCAAAAACAGACAATTATAAATCAGAGCCATACTGCAGGGGAGGAGGAGGGAGAGGGATCAGAGGGAAGGTGGGAGGAGCACAGGGGACTGAGGTGATGGTGCACGGGTGCATTGACGAAGGAATATCTATGGGACTACACCTGAGAGAGTGGGAGGAAGCAAATATTGTTTAAAAGTGAACAATGATGGGCCTCCCCGGTGGCGCAGCGGTTGAGTGCTGGGTTGCGAAGCTGCCTGCGGCCTCTGCGGTGCCGGTTCGATCCCCGGCTGCTCCCCGGCCACCAGAGGAGGGTCCCACATGGCGCGCAGACCTCTCCTGCCGCCCGCTGCTCCCCTCAGCAGTGTACTTCGGTCCTTCTGCCTGCTCTGCTCCCCGCTCTGGCTCTGGTGAATTCTCTCACCCTCCCGCGCTTCTGACTGTACCCAGTGCATGTACAAACAAAAACAAAAACAAACAAGCAAATAAATAAATAAAACATGCCTCAAAAAAAAAAAAAAGTGAACAATGATGTAAAAAATTAAAAATTGAAAAAATTGAAAATTTTAAAAAAAAGAAAACAAAAAATGGAGTTAAATGTAAAGTTATCTTTAAGATTATAAAATTTTCTAACTGGCAAGAGCACTACATTATTTTTCAAAAACTAGAGAATGGGGACTGTGGATTTTTTTCAAAATACTAAAATGTTTTTAAAAGTTATGCAAATTGTTGCACTCTGCCAATGTAAAAATAGCCTAAAAGTGATATGAGCCTTGTGTTAAATTGTTTGGAGATGGGGGGAGTGGGTCAAAAATGGATGTTAAATAAAGATTGAAATGCATCTGTCTTTACTTCCAGCCATCCCTCCGTTTATCATGAACACTTTGGAAAAGAAAGCCTTTTTAAAGGTAAGACCCCTTTTTAGTGCGCAGTATATTGAACACAGACAGGATATTGTTCTGAAAGTGTGTAATGTGATAAGTAATGTGATAAGACAACCTTGCTACAATATACAAATGTGTAAGAGTAACATGCTGTACAGTTAGATTGATGTGTAAATAAATTTACAATGTTGTATGTCAAATTATTATACAACATTATTCAGTGTTGCATGTGAAATTAATCCAAGGGGAAGAAAGAAAGGATTAAAAACTGGCAAGCCCTAGTTCTATTTATCAACGTCTCAATCCTTTCAACTCCTTTTCAGACTTCAAACTGTAACAGAATTTTTCCTAGTGAGTAAAGATTTTGAAGGCACTTGAGCAATTATATAAATAAAAAGATGCTTCTTGGAACATGTGATGTCTAATCTCAGATATTTGCAAAAGCACTTGTGATTGAAGATTGTGCCCACTTCTCCTGAAGGTTCTGATCCATTATACACTTACCTTAGTCACTAATTAATGCCTTGTTTTGTGATAATGAAGAGACTGTGTGAATATGGGATGATATGTTGACAAGTTTTTCTGTATGCTATCAAAGATGAAAAAATAATTTGAAATAGTAGCTTCATGGACACTGAATTTTGCTCCAAAGGTATTTTTCTTTGGTGATGATATCTAAAAATTTATTACTGTAAAGCTGCCATTCTTCAAGGTCTGCAAATATTATAGTATGCAACTGTAACCCAGAACTCTCAGTGTTCCTGAGGTATTCTTTCTACATTGCTTCTTATAGAGTCCTTGACTTAATGCTATAGAATTTCTGCTTCATCTTTTTCCCAATCCTTGCAACATCTGGAATACTGTGGCTTAGGGTGACTCATTTGGCCCCAGCTGTTTGAAAAGTAACGCCATTAGATCTGCCAAGAGAAATGGGTCAGGTTTCTTGCAGAGGTGCTGTGGCAGAGACCACAGCTCTCTTGGGTAAATTGTTTTGGGTCTTAAAAATGAATATTTGCATTGCTGGGACACTGCAAAGGTTTGAGATAAAGGGACATAGTTCACAGACCAAACATGCTCTGAGCCGTACCAGCGATGAGGAGAGCCCTAAATGCCCAACAGGTGTGTTCATTGCCTGCTCTCCTCTCTGTGGGCCCCAGAAGGGGATCTAAGGCCAGCACTCAGTGAATGCTTAATAAGCACTTTTAATCGTTATGTTCTTAGAAACAAGCTAAGAAAGTCTGCTGTTACAGTGAGTGCCTCATTGGGTGGGCATCCCGGTGCTCATTTGTTATCCATGTATCAACCCCCTGTGAGGGGAAGGGGCACCTCTCTTCCTCACCCTGCCTCATATTCCTTCTTAGAAGCACTGGTATGTGGAGGGATTCTAGTCCAGAGTCGCTTCCTCTAGTGATCCTATGTGTTGATATGAAAGGTGTGCATCAGTTCCCAGGGGCTCTATAGTGACTGGACTACCCCATTGCTTTGTGTTGGATTCATGAGGGACACCGACAGATCCCGGGTCCACACCTTTGCAGATACTGAATCAATGCCCTGTGTCTTCCTTCTCTGCCAGCTCTTGATCTGAAAAATTACTAGGATTATAGTATCCCCACAAGAGCATGTGTTAACCTATGCAGCCTCCTACTACTTGCATGGTCCTTAATCCCTGAGGTATTGGGAGGCCAACTTGGGGAGCAACAGATAGTCAAAGTCATTCAATAAACCAAGCCTCCACCCTTCTAAATTGAGCCAAGTCAGGTTTTCTAAGCAAGACCAGATTTCTAAGTAGATATGAGGCTGGGAACATGTCAACCTATCCTGTTAGTTTCTCTTTCATAAAAGCGATAACTTGGCAAGAGAGGAGTGGTATATGTGGGCCATGCCACTGAGAATATGAGAAAGTCATGATTATGGCTTCACTTATAGGAGGAATGTAGGGGGGGAACCAAATAAGGGATTAGGCAAAAAATAATTATAATAAATAAAAAACAAAATTAACAGGCAACTAAATCAGAGACATTCTGCAGGGGATGGGGAGGGAAAGTTTCCAGGACCGGAGGGAAGAGCACAAGGGAATATGGCGATGTGCATGGATGACTTGGTGGTGGGAATTCTACAGGGACTACACCTGAGAGGAGAAAACACACATTGTACAAAAAGGAAGAATGATTTAAAATATAAATAAATAAATAAATAAGAAAGTTAGGGTTGTCGTGAACTTGCCAGTGACCATAAAAGCAGTTTGGAGGTCACCTTCAGTGGCAACATCCCCACCATTGCAACATCCCCATTCCTTTTTTTCTGTCTTTCAAATGCCATCTGACACCCACTTAGCGTAAGCACCTCAGCAGTAACTCCAAATATTGTCACTTATTAGTATAATTGGGTGATATCCATAGAAAGGGGAGTTCAGGTTCCCTGCCCCACCCAAGGAAAGGTGGAGCTGAGCAGGGATAAGAAGCTAAGGAGAGGAAGGAAGGAGACTGGAAGGAGACCTGGAGGAGGCACATGGAGCAGAGAGACAGGTGAAGAAGCTGCACTGGCTTGGACTTGTACCAGGGACTTAGGGGACAGGGAAAGAGACACTTGAAAGAGACAGAGATGTTGGTGAGAGACTGTGGGGAAGCTGATGATGGCAGCCTTTATCTTGACTTGGATTTTGATTTTGCTCTTTTCCTTCCAGACTTACCTGGTCGCTTCTGCCCCTTTCCTATGGTTCCTCTCCAGAAGGTGCCTTAGACTTGTGGCAGGCTTTCAGGCCATAGTGATCCTGCTTTGGGCCAACCCTGTTTGGCCGGGCACCCATGAGGGGATGGGTAGCTTTGGGTGTTTAATTAGAAACTTTTAAACTATATTCTTTCTCTTCTCTCTGTCGCACACTAATTGTGTTAGAGTTCCTTTCCATTGAAGGTCTTATGCACTAGATTATGTTTTGTCTAGTTACAGTGAATAGCAAAGAGTGTACAGGTTTGGGGGTGGTGTCCCATGGTGCCCCTCAGCCTGCACACTAACATTAGTGGGCTGTTAACATGTGTCCTGGTCTTGGCTTGTGGTTCCAGGATAGTCTATCAGAAAGCCAGCATTTCAACCTACATCCGTGTTGAAAGGTTAGGTCGGTGGGGAAAGCATAGCATGAAGTTGGCACACCGTTCTTGCAATTCGGTCAGGCCTTTGAACCCGTGGGGTCTTGGTATTGTTGGAAAAGTGGCCACAGTTACCCTCATGGCTCAGTGACAAACACTGGGTGGAAGACACTGAAGGGAAGATGCAGGACCTTCTTGCTGAGACTCGTAGACGAGGCTGTGGACACAGCCTGGCATTTCCTTATGTGAAGGGACCAGCACATGGTAGAAGCGTACGCCCATCATTGCCACATCCTCCTAGGCTTTCACAGTCATGAGTGAGTGGATGTTTGTTAAATTCTTAGTGAAACGCCTCCCATGTCTTAGTCTGCGGTTTTTGCCTATAGCCTTTAATAAAAATTTGGAGGTGCGTCACCTGCTCGCCTCCTTGAACAGGCCTCTCTCCTCGCCACCGAGGGGAGGGCCTCGCCTAGAGCCAGAAGGAGCCACTGGGGCAGGACTGGTGGTCAGAGTAGGTCAGGAGTCCTTCAGAGCCCCTCACAGGCTCCAGGGGTCTGGTTGTGGCTGTACCTCCTTCTCCAGACCTCAGTGTTTCTCAGTGGAGAAAGTAGAGGCAGAATACCTGGAGCTATCACACGCACGCCCCTGCCAGGTGCCTGGCAGCCATTACACATTAATACCGTGCTTTGCCTGTGTGGAGAGGCCCCTGGATGTCATCAGTACTATGGCCGATGTTAAAATATAAGCAGAAGCTATTTGTGTTACTGTCTTTGTAGTCCCTCTTCATAGCAGTTCACATGCTCTTTGGAGAGACAGGCTGGTCTGTGCCCCATCAGCAAAGGCTCCAGACATTTTGCACACTGGGGCGTCTGGCTCAGTCTGCCCTCTGATTGTCCCCACAGCTCCAGTGGCCAGATGTGCCCCCTGCGAGAGTGGGTTTATCCGGGCCTGTCCCTGGGACATGACCAGATGCCTCTGCAGACATGAAAGGAAAGGAATTGACCATTCTTGACTTTTTTATTATTACCCTTTGTTGATGTTTTTAAATGGTGAGCTTGGAGGCATTTGCCATGGCTCCTCCCTTCCCCTGCATCTTTTCTTTTCCCACATGGAGTGCTGGCCAGAGGCAAGTGATTCACAGATATTTGTGCAATAAATCAAAAAGTTCACTGCCTACAATCTGGCACTTTGATAAGCAGTTTCCTCTGGAGGAGAGTTCCTGTGGTCTCTAAAGTCATTCTTGCACTTTCATTGTAAATAAAATTGATACGATTTGGGTCAACTAATACTCCCTAATTCTTTAAGTTTTAGTTCTTTAGTTCTTTTATATTCCCTTTGATAAAGGTGGACTGTTGTCTACCCAGTTGACTTAGGGTTGTCTGCTGAGTGGGAAGGTATCTTTGCGTGTACTCTGTGGCCCTTGCCTGAGTGCCTGTTGCATGAAAATATCATACAAGGTGCTGCAGTCATAGAAACAGGGCTTGAGCCCTGCTCTCAGGGACCACATGGCATGGGGCAGGGAGGTGGGGTGGGGGGCAAAGGCTCAGCCGATGGTGCCAGAACCTTGTGAGTACAGCACAGGACCCAGAGGGCATGTAAAGGAGGTGTCTCCTCCAACTGCGAAGGGTTGGCAGACAGTGGACAAGACTGGCCAGGGCAGGGGCTCAAGCAGAAGCTTAGAGGAGCAGAGCGTAGCTAATTTGGAGGTGATGGTGGTCAGTTTGCCTGGGGTGTGGGTCCTGTGTCAGAATTGACTGTACTATGTCTCAAAATCAACTTCCAATGGTTCGTAGACTCTAAATGTGAAAATCTAGATTTGTTAAGCTTCTAGGAGGAAATGTAACAGACCATCTTTGAGACAGTCTATTAGACCATCTAGAGTTAAGTGAAGATTGCTTTGCCATAGCACCAGAAGCACAGTCCATTAAAAAAAATTGATAAATTGGGCTTGATGAAGATGTTAAAATTCTGCTTTTTGAAGATTGTAAGGAGGATGAAAAAATAAGAAGCAAAGCATGTATATGCAAAGCATGTATCTGATAAAGGACAGGACTTGTATCCAGATTATATAAAGGACTCTCAATACTTATTTGAAAAAACAACCCAGTAAAAAAGAAAATGGGCAAAAGGTTTGAACAGACATTCTACCTAGTACATACAAATATTAAATAAGCACATTCAAAGATGCTTAGTATCTTCAGTCACTGGGGGAAATTGAATTAAAACTACATGCTACATCTAAACATCTATTAAAATGGCTAACTTAAGGGCCTCCCCTGGCGGCGCAGCGGTTGAGCACTGGGCTGCGAAGCTGCCTGCAGCCTCTGCAGCGCTGGTTCGATCCCCAGCTGCCGGCGAGGGTCCCACATGGCACGCAGACCTCTCCTGCTGCCCGCTGCTCCCCTCAGCAGTGTATTTCTTTAGTCTGTCTGTTCTGCTCCATGCTCTGGCTCTGATGAATCCTCTCACCCTCCCGTGCTTCTGGCTGTACCCAGTGCTTGTATAAATAAATAAATAAATCTTTAAAAAAAATGGCTAACTTAAGACTGATCATAATCAGTATAGGTGAGGATGTGGAAGAACTGAAACTCTCATACCTTGCTGGTGGGAATGTAAAACCACCTTTGGAAAATAGTTTGGCAGTTTCTTTAAATATTAAACCTAAACTTACCATCTGATCCAGCCATTTCACTCCTAGGTGAAAAATAGGAGAAAAGAAAACATATTATCCACAAAAGATTGATGTTAATAACAGCTTTATTTGCAATAGCTGAAAACTGGAAACAATCCAAATGCTCATCTACAGGAAAATGGATTTTCATATTGTGATATATCTGTGCAGTGGGATACCTGACTGAGCAATAAAAAGTAGTGAACTGTTGAGACACATAAAAATCTGAATGGATCTGAAAATAATTACACAAAAGAGTAATGAGTTTAATATCCTAGGAAATCTAAATGAATATATAGTGACAGAAGGGAGATCAGAGGTGGCCAGGGAATGGGATACAGGGCTTGTTGGGATGCTCCAGGTCACGGGAACAAGGGCAGCATGAGGGGTGTGGATCAGCTCATTTGTCTTGATTTCTATTGTGATTCCATAGCTGAATACATGTGTGAAAACCTATACAGTCATGTGTCACATAACAGAGTTTCCATCAACAATGGACCGCATATGTGACAGAGATACCAACAGGTGTACATTAGCCCAGTTGTGTAGGAAGCTAGACCATGTAGGTTTGTGTGATTTACACTCTGCGTCATTCACAGGATGATGAAATTACCTTAACAACATACTTCTCAGAACGCATCCCAGTTAGTGAAGCACAACTCTGTTGTGCAGAATTAAATGTGTGTAGTCTTTAAATCATTTAACATTTCACTTATCCTCTGCACGATTCTGTGCTGGGCACGACATGTTCCTTCCCCAAGGATATAGTGCAAGTATTTAGGGAAAGACCAAGCATCATTACTCACTAATTTAGTGTTGGACTAAGTTCCATTTAAGAAGCAGAGACAAATTAGGCAGGATGGGAGCTGGGAGAAGGATGACATGCAGGCTCAATTTCACAGGAGAAGTCAGAATTCCCCAGGATTCTTTCATTACCCCTGCCTTTCCAGCAGCCCCCCACAGGGCCACAGTCAGCCCTTCGTCTGTGCCTGCCCCTCTGTGATGCCTCACACAGCTGTTCTCTGGGATACACTTTGCTGCAGACCAGAGTCCACTGAGTAGGAGGCTGCTCTCTCAGCTTCAGGATCTCCTTTCTGCAAGAGTTCATTCAGTACGCAGCTCACCAGGTCTGTGTGCCAGCTTGTCACACAACAGGGAGGTGCTAGGGCAGGGCCTGTCCTCTCCTCATGCGAGTCCTTCCATCCTGAGCCAGTGGCCCAGGATGCAGTATTTCCTGTCCTTGCCACCCATCGAGGTTGGGGTTAGGGCGCTCTCTGCATGAGCTCCATGGATCTGTCTCATCTTGACGATATTTCTCTCTTCCTCTCTAGTCCACGCCTCTGTCCTCACCTTAGCCCTTATGCTGTACCTTTTCTCCGGTGGAGTCTTCTCAGGGACCTGGGTATGCCTCTCACACAAGCCTCCGTGGTTGGGATGATGATCTTTTAACGATGTGCATTGACCTAACTCTGTTGGCTGATTTCATTACAGCTAATTCACGCTTGGTTGCAGCCATTTCATTGGCCTTATTATATAACCATATGTCTCAGCATTCTCTACTATGCATTTTGGCACCGCTCCTTTATTCACACTGAAAATCTAACAGCACTATTTCCCACAAGACCAACCAACCCATTCATTCCCATTAAAAAAAAAAAAAATACATGCAAAAATGTTTTATGCAGCAATAGTTCTAACCATATTGATAGCAACTAAAATCAAGAAAAGAAAGTGCAAGGGCCATTCTGCTGAGTTCCAAGCATTGTACCAATGAATATTATCTGGCCTGTCTTTACCTACACGCTTATTTAGGAAGCTGCTACGATCCTCTTTTGGCTCAGCTGTCTCCCTGGCCAGGAGATAAGTTACAATCAAGTATTAGCAGTTCCCTCTCCCCCATTTGCAGCCAGCATCACTCATATTAAATGTACAAGGGAAGAAAATTAGAAGGCACTTGATCTTCCACATGGTTCATTGATAGACTCAAGGCTACAGGAATGTGGGACTAACGTGCTTGTTGCAGTGTACCCCAAATTCCACTAATCATATTCCCAATGGGTCTTATAATGTCAAGAGACCCATGCAAAAGAAACTGCCTCTGAGAACCTGGATTAAAAAGTATTCAAAATAATTTATTTATCAAAACAGAGGTTCCCGTGGATGAGCGCACCTATTCAAGTTGGACTTGTTGGCTTCTGGTGAGTAGAATTACTTTTCTACCAAATTTTTAAAAAGATAATTATACAGCATTATGAAAGGGTGACAGGATGAGAGAACATGGGACACAAATTATGAAAATGGGACCATTCAAGAACATCTGGAGGGTGTCCCCTGGTGGCGCAGCAGTTGAGCACTGGGCTGCAAGGCTGCCCATAGCCTCTGCAGCGCCGGTTCGTTCCCCGGGCCGCCGGCAAGGGTCCCACAAAAAGAGAAAAAAAAAACCCAAGAACATTTGGAACTGATGCCCCAATGATTACATGGAAGTAACTCTTTAGAGGCAACTACAACTTTGGGGACAATTTGTGTGATCTTTTTTAAACTATAATCTCTTTGATTTACAAAAAATTAATTTGGCAATCCTTGGTAGTAAAATTACCCAAACAACATATTTTTGTGACGCAATATAATGCTCTTATGAAAAAAACTGGTTGTTTTAAAAGCAAAACAGAAAAATGAATCTGAAAAATCAGCCATTTCAAATGTTCTAATTTGTCCTTTTCCTTATTAAAGCTTGGTGTTTGCTACACCTCTGTGCTGTGCTCTGTTTCCTCAGAAAAGGTATGTATCTGTAATTCTTGGGAATGATTGTGAGTTGTAACCCCAAAAGCCTGTTGGACACACAGGAGCTGATACTCCATTTCCCTGGCTGGGAAGTCAAGACTTAAAAAAGATAAATGAAGCCATCGCCTCTGTAGAGGAGAGATGGAGGCAGAAACCAAACCCCCATGTCTGTCTAATTTCAAAACTCTCTAATAACCAGCTCTTATCTACCCTCTCCCATTACCTCTGAAAATACTTTGTGCTTTGTGTAAGTGTCAGGTTATCTCTGGCACAAATTTACTTTCATAGAAATTATACTGTGAGGGCCTCCCTGGTGGCACAGCGGTTGAGCCCTGGGTTGCAAAGCTGCCCGCAGCCTCTGCAGCACTGGTTCGATCCCCGGCTGCTGGGTGAGGGTCCCACATGGTGTGCAGACCTCTCCTGCCACCCGCTGCTCCCCTCAGCAGTGTACTTCGTCACTCTGTCTGTTCTGCTCCCTGCTCTGGCTCTGGTGAATTCTCTCACCCTCCCGTGCTTCTGACTGTACCCAGTGCTTGTATAAATAAATAAATAAATCTGTTAAAAAAAAAAAAAAAAAGGTATTATCTTTAAAAAAAAAAAGAAAGAAATTATACTGTGGTCCTTTGCCATCCGCCCATTGGCCAGTGCATCCAGAGTGCAGATGTATCAGAATTCCACTTCCACCCGGGGACAGCAATCAAGCTCTCTGAGCTCATGGTTGCTGTGTTTGCTCCCCTTCCTGCTGCCTTTTTTCTTGCTTTGAAAGCCTTGTTGTGCACGTGACTTCCATCCCAAGCTGCCCTTGAGTGCCACTGCTTTTGATGTAAGAACTGGATTGACAAGCATTAAATCGCCATCCTCTAGATGCGAGGCTTCAGCTGCCTCCTGAGGAATAATATCAAGGCACAGAGAAGCAGTGTGTTGTTGCTTTGCTCTTTTTGAAGTGTTTCCAGGCTCCTCACTTGGCAATGCCCACACATTCATGGGCCATATATAGTCTTCAGTGGCCTCTGCTTTCACAGTAGGCTTGGGATATGCCTTATGTTTTAGGACAACTTTGTCAGGTCCCTCGACCTGATAGAGATCTCAGCTTGTATCAGCTCTTCATGTGTGTCTTTGACCCTGTGTTATTAAATAGGGAATTAAATCTCAAGGCCAGGGAGCCTTTTATCACCTGGAGATAAAAGCCGAGGCCCCCAGGAGAGGTGCGACCTTCAGAACCTGCCTTCTGAACCCAGTGTGGATGGACTTCCTCATCTCTCCTCATCCCCAAACATGAGGGGTACTCATGTTTATTTAGTCATCCAGGCCTGGAGCTCAGGGATTGACATAAGAAGATTATTTTTTTCATTTTAACATTTGTTTTTATGATTAATTTAGACTCAGGGTGTGGAAGTTACAGGTTTTTTATACCCACACATGTCATGAGGTCGCATGCTCTCGGAGAATACGTGGACCACCACCAAGAGCTCCCCTTTGCCTTCCTCTACCTCAAAAGTTAAGCTTATTGATCTATTACTTTTGTGGGTTTGTTTTTTAATCCATGTGTTTATATGTTTATTTTTCTTTTGTTTCTTCCTTATTAGTTACTTAGAATAGATGCATATTATTGCTTGGTTCATCACACACCCTCCTTGTTGGGCCAAGCATGGCCCTGTTTTTCAAATGTATTTTAATAATACAATTAAATACCCTGTACCCACTGCCCAACCGTGAATAAAACCACTACAATAACATCCATCTGTGGGCTCTTCCCAGCCTGTGCCATTGCCTCCTTTGCAGGTGTAAGCACTCCGCTGAATGCCATGTTTATCATGGAACTGCATTTAAATTTTTCATTAGGTATATATATATATACCTAATGTTGTTGTCGTCCAGTCTTTTTTTTAAAGATTTATTTATTTATGCATAGAAGAGCTGGGGTACAGGCCAGAGATGTGGGGGGTGAGAGGATTCACCAAAGACAGAGTGGGGAACAGAAGAGGCAGACGGACTGAAATACACTGCTGAGGGGAGCAGCGGGCGAGTCAGGAGAGGTCTGCTGTGCCATGAGGGTAGCTCCCTGGCCAGGGATCGAGCTTGTGCTCCAGTGGCTGTGGATAGCTTCATAGTGCTGCATCTTAACCCCTTGCACCACAGGGAGGCCCCGTTGTTGTTATCCAGTCTTGTCTCTTTGGAACTTTTCAGGCATGGGTGTCATATATAATCTTCAGTTACTTGTTTTTTTATTTAACCTCATCTAAGACTCATCCACTTATTGCACATAGTTGTAGTTCATCTGTTTTGAGTGCTGTGTAATAGTCCATTGTAGGAATATGCCAGTTACCCATTCTCCCGCATGAATGAATGATAATGACAATAGAAAAATAAAACAAAGGAATAAACTCCAGAGAAATAAAATGGAGTTAAGACCAGTAATAAATAGAATGGGTAATAAAGAAAAAAAAATAAACAGAGGACCCACAAAGCCAAAAGACGCTATTTCTTTGAAAAACAGTAGCACTGTAGACAATTGTCTTCAGAGATTAATCAAAACAAAAAGGCATAAGTAATCTTATGAGTAAAAAAGAGACATAACTAGAGATTCAGCAGAGATTAAAAAAATTAGGAAACATTTTCAACATTGTTTTGAAAACAAGCAAAATGAACAAGTTCCTACAAAAATAACAGAACTGAAACATTAGAATGGAATTGACTTAAAGTCATCAAAGCATTATTTAAACTTCTACAAAGAACACCCAAGAACCAGGTGGCTTTACCAGGGAGATTTATTCAACTGTCAAGAAAGAAATTATATCAATTTTGAATAAACCCTCCTAGAAGATAAAAAAGAAAACCCTCTCCATCACCCAATAAGGCTGAATAACTTTAATTCCAAAATTGGGTTTGGTCTTTTCAAGTGCATCATTAGTAACTTAAGGACTTGTAGATCAGAGGAAAAGCAGGAGAAGCAGAAGGCCCACAGACACTATCACCAAGGGGTGTGGCTGTGGGGTAGGAAAAAAACTAGTTTCAAGTAATTATGCCTCTGGTTTCCTTTTCTGCTAAATTAAGATAAAACTTGACTTTCAGAGGTTTCGTAGGATTAAGATGCATAGTGAGTGACCCAACAGATGACCAGCAATTTGTGTCCATTAATAGCAGAAGCAGCAACTGAAAATTGTCCAAAGTGCCACAACATAGAAAAGAAGCATTCTGGAGTTTTTTCTAGGTTTCTTTTATTTTTTTGCATATTTTGTATAAATCTGTGTCCTGACTTTATTTTACCTCATTTCTTACCCTAGCTCAACTATATTAGACACCAAACTTTTTGACAGACTATTTACATATGAAAATGCCAGCAGTTTTTCTGAATGTAAGCATTCTGAACAACTTTTCTTCATACTTTTATGTAAAAAGGCATTTATAACCAAAAATACCCCAAACTTGAATGTTTTATATTTTATATATATATATAAATATATGCCATATATAAATTGCTATGCCATATAAATTTATATGGCACATATAAATTCAAGCTCATTTTTTAAATGCATGCAGCAAAGACTGACAGTGGTCATCTCTAATGGTGTGGCTGCAAGTATATTTTTTTCTGGTACACTTTAGTACTTTCTATCCATTTTAGAATAAGCTCTATTCACAGCAGAGCATGTGAGTGGTCCCTCACACTGTGAGCTGTCAACTCAGGTGAGAGCAGGGGTCCTTTTTCATTCATGGTTGAGCATGTATGCATTTTCCTTGTAAGGTGGCGTTACTAGAAATGGCTCCCAGTACCAGATGTCACTGCCACAGCAGTCCTGGCCACTAGCAGACTGTAAGCTTTTAGTAAAATGAGAAGTAAAAAGTGTATTTCGGTGTTGGGCACCTAAGGTGCACTTCTTTGATTATTAGTGACAGTTCTATGAAAGGAAGGGATACTGTTGTCCCCCCTTGCCCACAAGAACACGTGCCAAGATTCCCAGTGGAGCCTGAAACCAGGGATAGTATCCCCCTGTACACAATGGTTTCTTCCACCATGTGCATGATAATGTTTCATTTATAGGCACAGTAAGAGATGAACAATAACTAAAATGAAATAGAACTGTTGTAGCAATCCACTGCGATAAAAGGTACGTGAATGGGCTCTCTCTCAAAATACCTGACTGTATCTTTTTCCAAGGCAGCTGACGGGGTCACTGAGCCCGCCCACCAGGGGGCTCTGCTGGTTTCCCTTCCAAACCTTGTGAAGCTCTTTTCAAGCTGGGCTCACTGGGAGCGCTGCTTTCTCCAACTTCTGGCCCCCACCCCTGCCTGTCTAATAACCCTGTCCCTTCTCCCTTACCCCAGTTCCATGTCAGTGACAAGCTTGGAGCCTGAATTGCAAGCCAAGATCCAAGCGAGCCAGCCTGAATTACGGCGCGTCTACTTCAACAAGGGATTGTGAGGCCGAGAAGGACGCCTCCCCGCGATGGGCAACCCCGGCCGCAGAAACCCGGCGTAGCCCTGGAGGGGAGGACAGTCCTCGTCCATGGGGGTTTGCCCAGGGTCGAAAACCTTTTAAAGACTCACCTTACCTTGTGGAGTCGAGCTGCTGCTGACGGCGCAGCACCTGCTGGGAGCCGGCGTCGACTTCTCTTGGCTCCTATTCATTGAATCACGTTCTCATTTACAGAAATATCCTCCCTGTAGCTCTGATCATAATAGTTTATCAAAAATAATATCCCAAACCCCCAGCCAGGGTGTTACAAAACACCCTAGGCATAGAATAGGTGTTCTAGGTGTGCTCACAAATATTTATTAACAGAAAGGAAATATGTTTAAAATACTGAATTTTTATCCCACTCTAGTTTCAAACCAAGGACCTCTCAGTAGTGATTTGGGAAACACAAACACTCTGAGGCTAGACTGCAAAAAAATCATGTGTAAAACTGTACAAAAAATAAGTATTAAGGGCAGTTTGCTTCCCGTGTGGGCAAGCCCAAAGTAGAGGATGAATTTTTTCTTTTGGAGGATAAAAGTGCCCCCACTGACCTTGGGAAGGTCGTCATACTAGACAAGGCAGCAAACCGCCCCTGCTGTCAACGGTGTGGGCCTTTGTGTCGCGGGTGGTTTCTCTGGTGGACATTTGCATCCTTAGAAGATGTTAATCTTGCACTCGTTGACTTTATATTCAATTATTTACATCAAGTAATCAGTAACCGAGATGTACAAATTTTGGATGTATTTTCAATACCAATGCCGTATGACTGGGTTGAATCTGGTATGTTTGATTTTTTTATTAGCCGTGAAAGCACAATTCCAGCTACCTACCTGTCTTCTCTTGTGCATAGAGATCTCCTTGGCTTTTAGAAAGACACAGAAATAATGTTTGCCAATCATGACTCCTTGAATTTTACTAGAATGTTGTGTATTAATCACAGTCCACCTGTTAGAAAATAAGGACTCCATGGACCACCATTTACATCATCTGTAGTAATTTCACAAGTAATATACTTACTGTAACAGATTTTGTGTCAAGTCTGTAGTTGTCCAAAGAAATATGCAAGGTGGTGGTTATCACCGAGCTAGACCAGGAGATTCTATTGTAATTCAGAGACTTGTAAGTGATAACAATGTAGAAACTAGTTTTAACAGATTTTTCTTGATAATGTGACCAGGCTGAATTTCCTCATAAAGAAAAAATGGCGTGCCTTGTGTCTGTGTTTCTCTTTTCTCTGCAAGGATTCATGGATCGGAAACTGGGGCCACTCTGAGCCTTTCTTTATACTGCCAGAATTTTCCCTCTTAGATTTTCTGTCTTAAACTAATCGGACCAAAGTAGCTTCCCCGTGGCTTTCTGGCCTTGGATACATTCTGTTGCCATAGATGTTTCTCATTTTAAAAAGTGATTTAAAAAAGCCTGGCATTCAAGGCAGATCTCCATTGAGGTACTTACAGAGAACTTCTAACAAGAAACTAAAGCATTTGAGGCCCCCTCTTCCCCTGCCCCAGCTAGTCTCAGAATTGTTAGCCTCCTCTCCCCACTATATTGGTAACTCTATTCCAGAATCTTCACCTTCACTGAATGATGAATGACTGGTGGAAGATAGACAAAACTCTCCAAAATTGCATGCACACCAGGAAGATAGGATGACAGCATTGTCATAAAAAAGGGCAATGAACATGGAGATGTGTCTTTTTAATATTATTTCCTGATGCCTCTGACTCTTGCTGCTTTAATATAGAAATAATAACTATAGTTTAATCATGGCATATAAAAAAAGAACAAAAGAACCAAGATTGGCAATCTTTGCTGATCTCTTAGAAATACCTTTTCTGGAGAAAAGTCCAAATAAAGTGCAATAAGCTTGTAAAAGTAATTAGTTCTTAATATTTCTATTCCCATGACATCAGGAATCATGACTATAAGCATTTACTCACTGGTAGTTTTTATTTCAGTATTAGTGTCTTGCCAGTGTTGGAATCTGTGTTGTTTCAGTTCAACTGGATGAAATGTTAAATAAACTCAGACTGAAAGTAAATTCTCTTTCATTTGTATGTAAAGGGTGATGTAGGTTTTATGTTACAGTGGATGGCACCTTCCAGGTACTAAGGTACCTGGCTACCATTGGTAACTCCTAAAGAGTATTTTTGTTTTATTTTTATTTTTTTATTGAGTTAATACTGGTTTACAACACTGATTATGATTTAGGGGAATAAGTTCACACCTCAGGAAGAGCATTTTTGTATTATGACTTTAACAGAAAATATATTTCTAGTTTTGACTACCAGTCTTCCACCTTCTGAAAGACCAAAGAGGACCCCCCTCCTCCCCCACACAGTATAATTTCAGGAAATTAATTATGAGCAAAGTGGGGGAAATGTAATTCTACTTTAGACCCTGAAGATGAACCATTGTACATGGTGGTGAGATCAATATGCTTTCACATTGTTTGCCATAGTTCACAGTGAAAACCTCAACCGAAGGTTGGGGAGTGTCTTGTTAACAGACTTAATAAAGAACTGAGCATTTCAACCTTTGTCACGTCTCTGCATCTGTTTTGATTCCATAACTCTCCATCACTTTATTTAAATCTATCCAAGAATTTGGATCTAGAAGTCAGACCTGGTGCAGTACAGGTTGTCCCCACTTTTAAAATACATGGCTTTGGACAGCTGATATGCTCTGTGTCCTGTTTTGTGTGTGTGTGTATGTGTGTGTGTGTGTTCATGTTAGTGTTAGTTGTTTAGAGAAAATAATTGAATGTATATCATAGAGTTGTAAAGACTACCCAAGAAAAGGCATGCACAGTGGTTTGCCAAGTACATCGCGAGCATCCCGTGATTCATTGCTCATCATATATTTGCTCTAGAGACAGTGGATGTGCACCCAAATGCCAGAGCAGTTGATCCTTGAACTGTATGGGGTCCACTTATATGAGGGTATTTTGAACAGATGATATAAATTATCTCCTAATTATTATCAACTAACCCAGTATAGCATTGTAAGTGTATTTCCTCATTTTCTTATTTTATTTTCCCTGGCTTACTTCATTGTAAGAATACAATATATATGCACAGATCTCACACATATACATCTCACATGTCACATATTCATGTTCATCAGTTCATGTTTATACCATTAAAGCTGCTTGTCAATAGCAACAATTAGTAGGAGGGGGAGGGGAGTCAAAAGTTACATGGGGATTTTCATCTATGAGCGAGATCGCACCCCGAATCCCCTCATTGTTCAAGGATCAACTAAGAATTAATGATGAGATTTTAGGACCCTGCCAACTTCCCTGGAGATAAGCCTGCCTAACTAAAAACAGCAGATTAAAATGACTCATCGAAGATGCCTCAGTCCATCCCTTAGAAATGTCTAACAATTAAGCTTTTTACTGAAATGAGAGGTGGCAAAAGTCTCTGTTTGCAGATGTGAAAGCTTGAAGAAAGCTTCTGATCACTTGAAACCTATAGTGAGAACCCAGAACTGACACTGGAACACCTAAGCCCTGTCCAAAAATGGAAACAAACCGAAATACTCGTTACTTTTTCCTTTGTGTCTTTAGAATATCAAGGAAAGCTGAAGAAATACAAAGTTACATCTGGTAGGAGGATATGCAGTATCATTTAAGCCCCAGAGAGTCAAAGTACAGCTGCTAGACCAGCAGCATCCAGCCTTATTAGAAATGCAGGTTCTTGGGCCCCAGCCCTGACCCGCTACACTGGAATCTGCAGGGTAACAGGGGCCGGGGAGCCCCCATACACGTCACAGATTGAGAATGTCTGGCCATGCAGTCCCATCTCTGGAGCTTCTGGAGAGCTGAGCTTGCTTGGGTAGGTTTCAGATCAGTTTACAAATGTCTATGAATTTGCACATTCACCCCTCATTAGAATCCAATAGAGCACACAGGTGACCACTTTCCAGAGCCAGCCCTTTGACCACAGAGCCTGGCCCCCTGGGAACTTCTGGGGCAGGAACACCTGGGATGCCTCTCCTGGACTTGTCTCATCCCGGTGAGCCCATAACATCCCCATGTTTAAAGGGAAGGAATTTAGAGTGAGAGAAGTGGTCTTGTCTAGGGTCCTCGCGGTGGTCTGGCCACCATCCGCATTGAGGCCCATCCACCCGTGGATCTAGCCCATCGCCCACAGCTTCTCCATCCAAGGAAAAACTGTAATTGGCTTCAATGCAGCCTGGTATGGTCTTCTAAGTGTCCTATCCCATACAGTACTACTTATGTTTCTCCCACGGGTTCTTCCAAGTGTGCTCTGCATTGAAAAGGTGGGAAAACAGGCTCCAAGAAATAAAAATGGCTTGCTGCACACCTAACATCAGGTCCTTCTCACAGAAGCCAAATCAGGACTGTGGAGATGGCACCCAGCCAGCTTCTGACAAGCCCTCTGAGTGATTCTGAGACTTCCACTTGAGCCCTGCTGAGTGGGTGAGACCTGGGTGAGACCTCAGGCCTGAAGTCAGCTCAGCTCCCCTCTCTTAACCTCAGTTTCCTCACCATTAACATTAAGATACTACTATTTCCTGGCTGAGTGGCTGGGCAGATTCAGAAGATACTAATAAATAAACAGTCTCAGCTGGGTGCCTGACATGGAACAAGCACAGTGAATGTTGTAGCAAAACTTCAGAAGTATGATCCCAGGGGCCGAAAGTTTGATGATGCTGTTGGTGATCGCCCTGGGCCACAGGTACTCTGGTGATGGCAGGTGGGACTGTGAATCGCTACAATTTCTCTGCAAGATGGTTTTACAGTATCTATGATTATTTATAAAAGCACTAACCTCTTTTAAGCTGTGCTTCCACTTCTAAGAATTAACCCCACAGATGCATACACTCACGTTTTCATGGTCTAGTCCAGTCCTGTAGAAGCCAGAGGGATGGACTTTAAGGGAGGGTGGAGAAAGGGGGAGCTTGGAGGATGTTCCCAGAAAATGATAGGAAATTGCAGGGGGCAGGGGGTGGAGGGATTTGGGATAATCCAAGAAACAAAAATAAATGTTTCCCTTGGGAAGTTTTTCCTAATTTCTGATTTGGATTCTCATAAAATAGATATAGAGATAAATAACAGTTGATTATCATAAAAATAAACTAAATTGAGGAGAAAGTCTATCTCTGGATGGTGGGATTTGAATTTTTTTTTCATTTTTCCCCTTTATGCTTTTCTGGTTTCTCAGAATTTCTTCTTCTGAATTCAGAACACATATTACGTGATATTTTAAAAAATCTTCTATAATTATAGACACAACTTTGTAAATAGTAGATGCATTGATATATAATATAAAGCACATTGAAAAGATACACACAAAAGTGTTTAACATTAGGTAAGTTTTATTTTCTTTACAGTTTTCTGTTTCTCATATTTTGTCAAATCAATGCACCTGATTCATTTTATAATGAGGGGGGAAAAAAAACAAGTTCAGGACCGTGAGTGACTGCTGCCAAGTTTAGAAGCTGGCACTCCAAGGGTGACTTTCAGCTCCCAAGCCCTGGGGATGCTCAGTCAATCGTGGGCTCTCCCCTGGATTCCAGCTCCCTACCGGAGATAACGCTAACTATTGAAGGCACCTGCCTTACTGCGGGGTCTGAAAGTGTGGTCTGGGAGCTTCAGATAGGGAGGGAGCCGCAGCGCCGAGACTTGCCGCCAGAGGGCAGCATTGCCCGCAAGATAAGCCTGAGCTGGGCGCTGCCAGGATTTGCCAGCAGGTGGCATCAGACGTCTGCCGCCCTCGAACCTGGCTCTGAAATTCCGAGGGCAAGTCAAGAAGAGGATAGAGAAAGCTAGGAGAATGACATGATTGTCCAGCTGCAGCACGCTGGAAAGATGCCCCTCGCTGGTATCCTACAAGCAGGAGTGGATTCACCCATGGGAGCTCATTATACAGGGCACTTGTTCCCATGGGCAAAGCAGCACAGTGGTAGACCAGAAGGGTCCAAACCCTCAGGACCATTCATCACCCCTGGAAGATGAACCCTGAACCACCTGGGGGTGGGAGTGAGTGGAGCCGGGGATCAAGGACAACTAAGGAGATGCAAACCAGCTGACACCAGAAAAATGAACAGAGATTACTCACTGGAAAAAGCAAAGGGGCAGGAAGAAAACTAGCTTCTATAATAGATGTGGTATATACACAATGGCATACTAGTCAGCCACCAAAAAAGATAAACTCATGCCATCCGAGGCAACATTGATGGGGTTAGAGGGATCATGCTAATAATAAGCCAGAAGGAGAAAGATAAAGACCGACAGTGTCACTTGTATGTAGAATATAAAGAAACCAGTAAAGGATCAGACAAAGACAAACATTAAAACCAACCCTTGAAAGCTGACCACAGATACAAAGCACCCAGGGGGAAGGGAAGAGGGGGAAGAGCACGATGGACTACGGTGGAGGTTACCAGTGCTCTGACCACACCTGAGTGGAGAAATCCTATATGGTCAAAAAATTAACAAGGATGTAAAACAGTGGAACTTCATTAAAAATATAAATACATAAATAAATAAGAAACTAGCTTCTAGGTAGAGCAAAGAGTTTGTGAGAAGATCTGGAGACCAGAGACTGTGGTCACTCACTCTACTAGAGAGAGGAAGCCCAGGGGCAGCCTCCACCAGGTCCTCAGGGGACAGGTCTTCAGAGCCCTCAGTGCTCCAGGGGAGCATGCATGCCCCGAAAAACATGATCATTCTGAAAGTTTTTGTGCCGGGGAGGAGCAGCAATCCTATCCTAGCTCTGCTTCTCTTTTTAGGGTACAGGAAGACTTAGTTCCCTTTTGTGAGCTCAGCTTCTTCATCTGTAAAATGAAGATGCTGAAAACCCACTGCAGGGTTTTCTGAAGCCGGAGTGTCCTATTTCTTGGCAATCACATCAAAGGAAGACGGCAGAGCAGCAGGCCATCTCCAGTCCAGCCACAGCAGCCTCTCAGCAAACATTAGTAATCCGGGGGGTCCTCCTGGTGAGTCTCCGGGGCCAGGAAATCGTTTCATGTGTGATTGCAATCAAGAACAAGTTCTTTCCTCTTATTCCCATTTATAATGAAAGTGTATTTTAATCATGTGCAATCTCCAGGAAAGATGGTAAAAAAAAATAAAAAATAAAAAAGCTAAAAATAGAGAGGAAAACATAGATTCTATTGAGATACAAAAGGACTCAATCTGAATAATAATTTCAGCCCAGAATGTAGGAGGGGAACCCATTTCTCCAGCAGAGCAAGTCAGAGGGAGCTAAAGAAGGGGTTACCTCTAGATAGCTTTCCCCTGGGTTTCTGGGTGCAGGCACCACAGACAGGGGTGCAGGAGGACACCCGGGTGGTGCATTTCCCCCATTCAGCCTCCTCACGAGGCAGGTGCATTACATCCGAAAGTCCAGGGAGGATGACCGACAGGGAGGAAAAGGAGGCCGTCAGCAAGAGGAGAAAACCCTTGTCACAACATCAGGGCTCCCCGGCTCCTTCGGAGGAAAATCTGAACTGTGGGGGCAGGGGAGCAAAGGCATCCAAGCTGCTAAGTAGAGTCTGACAATATAAT